ACCTCTGGAGCAGCCCCTCTCTCGAGCATTATTATCCCATTCTACTTTGCATCTGCATGCTGCCCCTCAGCAACATTCCCTTTCAGTTTTTACGTGTTTGCCATATCCAGCTCTACTTCACCATTAAGCATTTTACCCCTCCATTGTTGCTAAATTATAATGGTGTCAAACTGAAAGAAAAACCATTACAAGTGATAGTCTGATAACAATTATATAGGAAACAGAACCAAGTATGTGCCGTCCCACATAGCTGGCTGACTAGCAGCACATTGGAGGAAGGTATGATCAACTGTGTTACAAATTCAAGACAAACTAGCACAGCCAACAAAATAACTCGAGAAGCTGGTATCCTGTCATTAATCACCCTTTATTTACACATGAATAGTCCTTGACTATAGCACTACCTCATACAGGAATCAGGTACCAGAGTGTCAGCATCTCTGACACTCGCCCTTTTAATATGTAAGCCAGATTAACAATCAGGGAACTCCCTCTCGGAGGTCCAGCTGGCTGACCTTGTTACAATCACTACAACCTTCCCCCTCTCAGTCCAAGGCCATAGGAGCCTCCTGGGGCATTTTAGCACTAGGTCAGGTTCCTCCGACTCAGCATTGATACAGACAGCGTTTAACGGATGGGAGCTTGCCTCTTGCTCCAGAAGTACCTCAGTAGAATCTCACTCTCTTCCTCTGGCAGAAAAGGTGCTGAGGCAGCTGCTTCCGTTTTGAACATGTCCACTCAGAAGACTTGACAACATTTGACAGACAGGATAAATCTGTGTTCTGGCAGCATTTCCCAACAGCTCCATGGGACAGGGCAGGCTTTACTCTGGCATTGTTTGAGAATTCACGGCTTTCACATAACCCACGTGCTTGTTCAGGACTGGCACACCTACCCAAACTTTACATGTCACTGGTTTTAACCTCACATTGACCATCCCTCTTACTCATGTGAGTCCATTGCCATGATTCTTACACCAAACTTCGTCCCTTGTATAAAACTCTCTCTCTTTTGGCAGAGTCTTGGGCCAACATTGGAGCACCTGATGCCGTTTCACCCTCACCCCCTACCAGGTCAAGGAAGATCAGACTTAACCTGGGGTGTAGTCTATCATTAGCAACTCTGCCAGTGCTATCCCTGTAGTTGCATGTAGGGTGGTCCTATAACCCAACAAGACCAGTGACAGCTCAGGCTGTTTCCTCAAGACAGCCTTCAAAGTTGGACTACTCTTTCTGCCAGGCCATTGGATGATGGGTGATATGGAGCTGTCCTAATACGTGAAATTCCATTTAGCTTGAAGTAACCAAATTCTCTGTTGGTAAATGTTGGCCTCTTATCTGTTTCCAGGACCGGGTATTGCAAAAGATACGCGCAATTTTTATATAATCATCCCAGAGTTCGACTAATGGTCCCTTTGAATGGGTGTCTACAATGACTAAGAACATTGAACCCTTGAAAGGGCCTGCATAGTCAATGTGCAACCAAGTTCAAGGTTTACCCAGCCATTCCCATGTGTATGGGGGAGCTGCTGGCAGTAATTCCTGCAGTCAAGAAGTACAAACAGGTTAGCTTAGGGAATTAGAAGGGCAGACTACCTTTGAGGTTAAATGAAGAGAGAGAAATGAAAGGAAGTTGAAATTACTGAGGATGAGAAGCAGTTTTCATGGAGGTTGAAGGAAGGGAAAGCAGTGAGGATATCTCAACCAAAATATTTTTATGAGTTACTGTAGTAACCAAGGGAAATAAGGCAAGATGCCCGAGAAGAGTAGGTCAGAGGAATAAGAACTCAAACCAAGGTGCAATCTAGGTGATAAAAGGTCACAGCACCACTGCAACAATTTCAATGAAACAGAAAATACAGCCAGATCAAAAGGTTTCATTTAGGGAGAAAGCACCGTTAGTCTTCAGGCCAGGTTTCCATTAGGCCACGATGTCAACGCAATTGGAGGGGTGGCAGATTAGTAGCAATCTCACTGGACTAGTAACCCAGAACCCCAAAATAATGTTGAGACAAGCAATCCAAACTGTGCAGCAAATGGTGAAATTTGAATTCACTGAAAATATGGAATAGAACTAGTCTATTGGTGACACTTAACTGTTGTAAAAGCCCCCTCTGCTGGGTTCACTAATGTCTCTTTAGCGACGGGAATCTGCCATCCTTACCTAGATTTGCAGTCTTATGCCTACAGTTTCATGAAAAATTTAGTTAACTAGTTTTGGTCTAGTTAACTGCAGTTTTGGTCTCCTTACTTGAGAAAGGATGTATTGGCACTGGAGGGGGTGCAAAGGAGGTTCACTAGGTTGATTCCGGAGTTGAGGGGGTTGGCTTATGAGGAGAGACTGAGTAGATTGGGATTATATTCATTGGAATTCAGAAGATTGAGGGGGGATCTTATAGAAACATATAAAATTATGAAGGGAATAGATAAGATAGAAGTAGAGAGGATGTTTCCACTGGCAGGTGAAGCTAGGACAAGAGGGCATAGCCTCAAGGTTAGAGGGAGCAGATTTAGGACTGAATTGAGAAGGAATTTCTTCACCCAGAGGGTTGTTAATCTATGGAATTCCTTGCCCAGTGAAGTAGTTGACGCTACTTCAGTAAATGCTTTTAAAAAAATGGTAGATTTTTTTTGAACAATAAAGGAATTAAGGGATACGGTGAGAACGCGGGTAAGTGGATCTGAGTCCATGAAAAGATCAGCCATGATCTTATTGAATGGCGAGCAGGCTCGAAGGGCCAGATGGCCTACTCCTGCTCCTAGTTCTTATGTTCTAACTCTTAAATGTAATTAGGAATCAGGAATAAATGTTGGCTTAGCCAGTAATATCCACATCCCATGAACAAATTTAAAAATCATCACAATATTTTCCCGGATGGTAATGACTTAGTTGACAAATGCAGGATGTTCCAGAAGGAGATACTTTATGAGATGGTGAAAACTAACCGGAGTGCAGAGTCCACAGTATCAGCAGTGGGAAAGGAGAGTTTAAAAAGGAAAGCAGCAATGTTAGCAGACTCAGCAGGTGGTCAGCAAGAGCACGGAATTGGGCAATTTGGTTTGTTGCTTGTTTTAAGTGTCTCAAAGAGCCCTGTGGTAAGTTGCATCATGGTTGAATACGGAGAGATTGAGGTAGGGAATTGGGACAGAATATCTGAGGGGAGACAAGTTTAAAACAAAAGTTAAACTGAAAATAGGGATCAGCTTTGGTCTCCAGTGGCAGCCAAAACAAATGTACTTCAGAAACTGAACACTAAAAAAATGGTTAATTGGAAATAAAGAGGAGATAATTAGGAAGAAGTCCAGACTTAAATTCCTGAGTTGGATAATAATGACTTGATAATGTGAAGTTTGGGAGATTACACTGTTGTACAGGAACGAATCTACATAGCTCTTGTACAAAGCAGAACCTCTTAAAAAGATAAATTTTCACTTGCACAATGACATATAGCATAAAAATTAGATGTGATCTGGATACTCAAAAGGTTGATATAACTAGCGATCAAAAAACAAAACATTCTTGATGCAAAATTTATTTACAATGTTGCACATAATTATTTAAAAATATTCCATTTACACAAGTTTGTCACAGTACAATTCTTAAATTTTTAAAGTTTATTGTGGAAACTGTGCTTTAGTTAACCATAGTTAGTTTGGCATGAATAGCATAAAATGGTTACCAGTAGTTTTTCTCCCCCAATGTATTAGAAGGAACATTTTGTTGAAAAGGCAAAAAGTCTGAGGCACAGCTTTACAAACTAGATACAAAAGATCAGAAATATAATGTTCAACTTGCATGAACAAAACATCACTAAAATACAAAAATCCCTTTATCTTAAATCAACTGTTAAAAATATAGTGTATAAATTGCAATGACGTGGTTCAAGTCAGTACAAATGAATTTTACAGTTTCAAAGCTTACAAATAGCCTCGGATTTAAAATTTCAAGTGCTTGACAAGTTACCTTGAGAAGTGGAATATGAAAACTGCATTGTAACGATAGAAATCAACTTTAAAACAGATCACAAGATACAGGTGAGACAGGCCATCCAACCCTTAATCATGTAACTTAACTGACTCTTGAAAGAGTCCAAGGTTTTTTGCTTCATGAATCCAAGATGCTCATTTCAGGCATTAATGGGCATTGCTTGAAGGCCAACCTCAGACCTATGCTCAACCGTTTCCTTCTGCAGTTTCAGCCTATTTAACATTTTCTAGTATCCCACCCAGCATGTCTAGATTAGCCTTCACTCTTTAATTCATCTATATATACCTCTACAAGATCTTTTATTTCAGTTGCTATTCATCAAATCTTAACTAAAAGCTTCTGATTTTAAGAATCAACCTCGTGGCTATTCCCTACAAAATCTCCAGAGCTTGAATATTTACGGCTTACGTTTGGTAATATTAGATCAGAGTAAAAAGACAGTTATACAAAGTAGATTTTTGTACCATGTCTGACCTTACCTCAGTGAAACATACTCTGTTTCATTCTTTTAAAATGAAGCTACATTGAGGGGACAGCTGGAAATCTGCACAAAGCTTATTCATTTTCTTCTAGTCAGTTACAAGTACTATTTTTTCTGAGCAGACTTAGTTGCAGCATTTAATACATTCAGCTGAATCCAAATTCCAGAACTCAATGAATTCAGTAGACTAAATATAAGGCATAAAAATGAAAAGTCTTGTTAACTTTACACTGTATGCAAAATCGTTTGTATAAAAATATTTCTAACTAGTATACATTATAAATATCAAAAAGTTGCACAAACATTTACTATTTCGAACAAATATATGTGTCAAGGCTAATTCAAATTGGGAGCAAGGTGAACCAAATGCATTTTGGTTCCTTGTTCCACTTAGTCCAATTTCTAGCCTCGAGGGAAGTTTAAAAAAGAAGAGTGAGTTTTTGTAATTAATAATAGAGAGCAAAATAAATCAAGTTTTGTCATTTAGTTATGAAGAAAACTTGCAGTGGAGAGGTTTTGCAAAACCTTTTACATGTTAGCATTCCAGTTCATGACTTTGTCATATTCTTGAATCCTCTGTTTGATATGAGAGAGTTTGTTTTTCAAATATTCACAGCGTTCTTTTTTCTCCAGGAATGTAGGATCCTGCAAAAATGGGAAGCATTACATTATCCAGTGCTGATGCTGTGTTATAATGTTCAAAACGTACTAAATTTAAAAAACCCAAGCTATAAAATGAGCTTTGCACATTTTAAAGTATATTATGAATTCTTGGTTTTCTCAAATTGAATTCAACGTGCATAATTGTGATCCATTTCAAAAGACGGAAAAAAGTTACCATTATACACAAATGTATTGTTTGGATATAACCATTTTCTACCGCAGTCAGCTGCTTCAACAAAGAATTCCATAGTTGAGAATGGAACATTCCAGAAGAAAAATAATTCTCTTCATAACCAGTTTAGTTTTCCAGTTCTCAAATTTAGAATTGTGAACACAAAATTTGATGAGCAAGAAAATATCAGATCAACCCTGCTTAGTCAGCATTCTCATGATGTATGAATCATTATGCATAGGCAACATCTGTCAACAACCAGTATGCCATGTAATCTTACAAAAATGGCAAAAAATTTAAAAAGGGGAAATTCCTCTTCAAACCGCTTAGGTAGTAGATGGTCCAGAATACCAAACTGACCATACTTGCATCAGGTAATAGGTGAAGTTGTCACAGTCCCAGAGGACCACAGGTTAGTGCTCAGAGAGATGACTGATGACAGTATAAGGGTCACAATGTCTCAGTTCAGTGTCGATGTCAAGAAGGGTCATGCAGCCAACTGAACTAACTGACCCCTTAAACATGTATGAATTGGTATTTCATAGATAACACAGTGTGGAGCTGGAGGAACACAGCAGGCCAGGCAGCATCAGAGGAGCAGGAAAAGTTGATGTTTCGGGTCGGGACCCTTCTTCAAAAAAATAGATTTTCTGAAGAAGGGTCCTGACCCGAAACGTCAACTTTTTCTGCTCCTCTGCTGCCTGGCCTGCTGTGTTCCTCCAGCTCCAC